CCCCCCCCGGCCTCTGGCCAGGCCATAAAGGCCAAGCTCTTGAAGATGGGAAAGCCGCCCCCCTCCCCACTGAAGAGGGGCCGCTGGATCGAGGCAGCCAACAACCAAAAGCACGGCTGGAATGTACCCGGGGGCCGGCACCTGAGCAGCAGGAAGAAGGAAAAATACGCAAAGAACCGAATAAAGGCTAGGCCAAGCACACCCCCCTACAGGGTCATGGAGCAGGAACAACCCCCCCCCCCCAGCAGTCCGCGGTACTCCCATATCGAACAGAAACATCTGGAAACAAACCAAGATCTGCTAAACTGCATAGGTTACACTGGTCCTGGATGATACGCTTACACACGTTCAGCTAACACACTCCGCAGGGCACGGACACTGAGGCCTGGGGGCGACTCTCTCTTTCATGCAATATGACTCCTTAGTCCACCCTAACAAACAGTACAGAAGGTAATGATCTCCCCCCATGTGGTTAGGAAAACACGTACGGTTTAAAGTGATTTATCTGAGCAGTAAGTGTATATTTGCTCAGGAAAAAAAATTACATGACTATTACATGTAAATTAATACTAACCCAATAAAAACTAACAAGAATTTCTTGTTTGCTCCTAAAAGTCACTGATATCTAGTTGGACGGCTAGATGAACACCGCTTCAGTTCCCAAACCTCTCCTCAGGGGCACCCCGGCCATTCCATGTACAGTTCCAGTCAAAAGTTTGGACACATCTACACATAGAAAGATTTATTTGTACTTTCTCTACATCATAGGATAATTATAAAGACATCAAAACTATAATAACATGTATGGAACTAGGAAGCTCTGTGGGTTGGGACTCAGAAGGTTTCAGGTTCAAGTCCCATGGCCGGCAGAGTGATCCCACCTTTGGGCCCTTGAGTGAGGCCCTTCACCCCAATTGCTCCAGGGACTGGTTGCCCCTGATGTCTCCTCTATGCCTGTTCCTTGAGGTGGCCTCCTGAGATGCTTTTCCAGCTGTCCTGAAGGAGGTCCCACATATATGCTGAGCTCTCATTGGCTGCTTTTCCTTCACTCCCTGGTCAAACTCCCCCAAAACCATCTGCGCTGTGTTTAGATGGCCGGGTCATGTGATGTGACACCATCACGCTTCTTTGTAGGAGGCCACACGTGTCCAAACTTTTGACTGGAACTCTGTCTTTGCTAAAATTTCACCACTCGCTCATAAAATTAACTTAATTTGTTAAATAATTTGATGAAGTATTCATTAACCAAACAAGGTGCACTGGCGGTCGGAGCACAGAAACACATGCGTGTATTAGATGATTACGGCAAATACTGGGGTGACGTTAAGCTGACACACTTCGACAGACATCAAAGTTTGGACATCATTTTTTTATTGCCTAAGACTTTTGCACAGTACTGTAGGTAAACACACTTTCACAGACACTCTGAGGCAGGACTGAGCCCTGTCATCAGTGTTGTGTTTGCACTACACACAAGGCGTGACTTTAATTTGGGTTCACGATGGCAGAGTGAGCGGTGAGAGATAAATCACCCCACTGCAGGCAGCTGAGACTCTAATGAGCTGTGCTGTGTCGTCGGGGGGGGCGGCTTTGGAGCAGAAAGCACTACCTCAGCTACATTACACAGGGAGGGGGGCTCTGTCGAGCTTAAAGACACGGCACCCCGAAGCTGCACGGAGCTGGCCGGATCACTAAGCACCCCCATGGGGGTGAGGCTTCATTATAAAAGGGGTGGGGTTAATCGATTTACCGTCGCACACTACTTCATGTCCAGCCCGCCGGCATCTCGCAGGATCGAGTCCCGGCGAGTCTTGTTTGTCCATGAGACATCTTTAGCCATTAACTTGGCGGACGGGTGAACCAGAGAGGTACGCAGTTTTGTTGGGGGGGTGGGAAAACTCCACTGTTGCCCATTTCTGCCTCAAGCTCCAGCGCCGGCACTCCAGCAAGCATGCGTGCCATCGCCATAGCGACAAGCTGCCCTTTCCTGACTCTGTCTCATAAGTCACTCCAGCCCCTCCTGCGGCCGGGAGTTATTCCGGCATCGTCCTGGTGTGGCGGCCGGACAGAGGGCCTTCCGCAAACAGGCAGTCGTCATTCCCATCGTCACATTCCCCTGTGTGGACACCCCCCATAAACGCTGGGTCCTGGGATCGATAGGGGGGGGGGGGGGGGGGGTATCCATAGCGACGACGTCTGCCAACCCCGGTTCAACAGCAGGCCATGAAATCTTCACACACGTCATTAACACAATGACCTCTGACTGCACCAGCCCAGCCACACCCACACTGGCCCCAGCTGAAAGATGATTGGC